CAGTCCCAAGCTTCTAAGACACGCACCATACCAAGTTTAAAAGAATATAACTCGGTACTCACTGCAGTGAGTGACAAGGAGCGCATTTTCTTGTCGACGAAAACCGACAGACAGACGGACGGACGACAAGAAAATGCGCTCTCTGCGTCACGGACGGACAAACAGACGGACGGACATGTCGAACACAATAGCGCCTTTTTTCCATAAGTGAGAAAATGTGTTAAAAAGGGCCTAAAAGGACCTGATCAACTGTAATTCTCAAGTAGGTCAAAATGGGCTTAAAGCCTTCAAATTAAAACTAGGCTTACAGCCTCCCGTGCAGAAACTGGGCTTACAGCCTCCATTTTTAGCGCATTTTCTCATTTATGAAAAAAATGTACTATTGTGCTCATCATTTCAGGGATGGCGGCGACCAGGGCGAGGCTGTGCGTGATGCAGTCAACCGCACACGCGCGCACGCTGCTCTCTGCGCTCTCTACGCCTACCAGCTGATAGATATCTTATTATTAGTTTAATAAGCAAGTTATAAATGAATTCACCCTTTTTAGCCGAAAAGCTGATATATGTAAATCGTTTTATTAATTTAATAAGCAATTTATAAATAATTCACCCTTTTCATCCTACGAGCTGATATAAATCATATTAGCTTTCATAATTTTATAATAGGCTTTTAAAAACTGACAATAGAGTTAGAGACTTAACTTTACGCCTACGAGCTGATATAAATCATATTATTAATTTAATAAGCAATTTAGAAATGAATTCACCGTTTACAGACGAAAAGCTGATATAAATCATATTAGCCTTCAGAACCTTAATAAGAAATTAAAAGTAAAGTTAGAGACTTTACTATAAAAAAATATTTAATAAAATTATTACTATAAAAAATAATCATTGTTTAAGAAAAATTGAGAGTTAAGTCAGAGACATAAAGTGGGCAAAAAATGTAAAAAATGGTTTTATGGACTCAATACAATGATATAAACTTTTGCGTCAAATGGGTACCGGTATTGGGTTACAAAATTCCAAATGCACATTAAGTTTCATAGATTAAAATGGGTTTAAAGTCTTAGAAATGAAAATTTTCATGAAACCGTAAAATTAAAAAAAACGACCTAAACTAGAAAAGGACCTAAACTAAAAAAAGACCTAAACTAAAAAAGGACCTAAACTAAAACAGGACCTAAACTAAAAAAGGACCTAAACTAAAATAGGATCTAAACTAAAAAAGGATCTAAACTAAAACAGGACCTAAACTAAAACAGGACCTAAACTAAAAAAGGACCTAAACTAAAAAAGGACCTAAACTAAAAAAGGACCTAAGCTAAAAAAAACCTAAACTAAAAAAGGACCTAAACTAAAAAAAAACCTAAACTAAAAAAAGGACCTAAACTAAAAAAAAAACCTAACCTAAAAAATATAACTCAGTACTCACTGCAGTGAGTGACAGAGAGCGCATTTTCTCGTCGACGAAAACTTGAGGTCACGGACGGACNCCCCTAAGCCTGACCAGATGGTGAGGCAAGAACCCCTGAGCCTGACCAGATGGTGAGGCAAGAACCCCCCAAGCCTGACCAGATGGTGAGGCAAGAACCCCTAAGCCTGACCAGATGGTGAGGCAAGAACCCCTGAGCCTGACCAGATGGTGAGGCAAGAACCCCCCAAGCCTGACCATGGTGGGCAGAAGGCGGTCCAGGATGACGTCATCAGGGCAGAACCGCGCGACCCTCATCAGCGTCTGCAGCCCCAGCAGCTTGGAGGAGCAGAGGGCGGCACTCCTGGCGAGCAGGGATATTCAACATTCAACACCAGGCAAACAATATGATTTTATCAATATCATTAAGTTGAATCGTGTTGATTAGCTGTATCCTGGCGAGCAGTGATATTCAACACAAGGCAAATAATATAATATTATCAATATAATTAAGTTGAATCGTGTTGGTTAGCTGCAGCATAATTAATGAGAATCACCAATGAAATCCTGGAATAATGTCGCCCACTAACCTAATCACCGACCCACCCTCCGCCACCAGGCAAATAAGATGTAATCAATATCATTAAGTGGAATCATTTTTATTAGCCAATCTTCATTAATATGAAACAGCAATGAAATCGTTGAATCATTTTTATTAGCCAAATCTTCATAATATGAAACAGCAATGAAATCCTGGAATAATGTCGCCCACTACCCCAATCACCGACCCGTCGTCCGCTGCATGCGAGTCGCAAGGCAAGAACCACAAAGAAAAAACAAATATATTGAAGAACCGCGATTTAATTTTACGTATCATCAAATTTTTCGTCCGAATAACAATTATTTTTGAATACTGCGTCTTAGTAAGAAATACTTCCAAATACCGCGTCTTGGTAACAAATACTCTGGAATACCACGACCCAGTACAGCACACGACCCAGTACAGCACACGACCCAGTACAGCACATGACCCAGTACAGCGTATGACCCAGTACAGCGTATGACCCAGTACAGCGCATGACCCAGTACAGCACANCACCATCACGTTATATTACGTGCATCACATCACCATCACGTTATATTACGTGCATCACATCACCATCACGTTATATTACGTGCATCACATCACCATCACGTTATATTACGTGCATCACATCACCATCACGTTATATTACGTGCATCACATCACCATCACGTTATATTACGTGCATCACATCACCATCACGTTATATTACGTGCATCACATCACCATCACGTTATATTACGTGCATCACATCACCATCACGTTATATTACGTGCATCACATCACCATCACGTTATATTACGTGCATCACATCACCATCACGTTATATTACGTGCATCACATCACCATCACGTTATATTACGTGCATCACATCACCATCACGTTATATTACGTGCATCACATCACCATCACGTTATATTACGTGCATCACATCACCATCACGTTATATTACGTGCATCACATCACCATCACGTTATATTACGTGCATCACATCACCATCACGTTATATTACGTGCATCACATCACCATCACGTTATATTACGTGCATCACATCACCATCACGTTATATTACGTGCATCACATCACCATCACGTTATATTACGTGCATCACATCACCATCACGTTATATTACGTGCATCACATCACCATCACGTTATATTACGTGCATCACATCACCATCACGTTATATTACGTGCATCACATCACCATCACGTTATATTACGTGCATCACATCACCATCACGTTATATTACGTGCATCACATCACCATCACGTTATATTACGTGCATCACATCACCATCACGTTATATTACGTGCATCACATCACCATCACGTTATATTACGTGCATCACATCACCATCACGTTATATTACGTGCATCACATCACCATCACGTTATATTACGTGCATCACATCACCATCACGTTATATTACGTGCATCACATCACCATCACGTTATATTACGTGCATCACATCACCATCACGTTATATTACGTGCATCACATCACCATCACGTTATATTACGTGCATCACATCACCATCACGTTATATTACGTGCATCACATCACCATCACGTTATATTACGTGCATCACATCACCATCACGTTATATTACGTGCATCACATCACCATCACGTTATATTACGTGCATCACATCACCATCACGTTATATTACGTGCATCACATCACCATCACGTTATATTACGTGCATCACATCACCATCACGTTGTATTACGTGCATCACACACATCAGAATATAAAAAGCAGGAAGATAAAAAAAGAATTAATAAAACTACAAACAACAACAAGAGTAACTAAAACACCTGTAACTACAACACGTGTAACTACAACACCTGTAACTACAACACTTGTAACTACAACACCTGTAACCACAACACTTGTAACTACAACACTTGTAACTACAACACTTGTAACTACAACACTTGTAACTACAACACCTGTAACTACAACATGTGTAACTACAACACGTGTAACTACAACACGTGTAACTACAACACTTGTAACCACAACACTTGTAACAACAACACTTGTAACAACACTTGTAACAACACCTGTAACAACACTTGTAACTACAACACTTGTAACAACACCTGTAACCACAACACTTGTAACAACACCTGTAACACAACACTTGTAACAACACCTGTAACCACAACACTTGTAACAACACCTGTAACAACACTTGTAACAACACTTGTAACTACAACACTTGTAACAACACTTGTAACAATACTCGTAACCACAACACCTGTAACAACACCTGTAATAACACTTGTAACACGAGCTAACCTGTTGCAGAGAGTCACACAAGTTCTTGAGTTCGACGTCGTATTCTCTGCTGCTGAAGTAGCCGCTGTGTAAACTCCAGTCCAGGAACCTGGAGGGTTAATAGTACACTGAAACAACTACTGGGGTATATTGTCTGAATATTAACACAGTTTTAAACCTACAGCACGAGTAGAGAACCTGGAGGGTTAATTGTACACTGAGACAACTACTGGGGTATATAATTCAAATATTGACACAGTTTTAAACCTACAGCACGAGTAGAAAACCTAGAGGGTTAATAGCGCACTGAAACAACTACCGGGGGCATATTGTCTGAATATTAACACAGTTTCAAACCTACAGCACGAGTAGAGAACCTAGAGGGTTAATCGTACACTGAGACAACTACTGGGGTATATTGTCTGAATATTAACACAGTTTTAAGCCTACGTACAGCACGAGTAGAGAACCTAGAGGGTTAATTGTACACTGAAACAACTACTGGGGTACATCGTCCAAGTATTGACACAGTTTCAAAGCTACAGCACGAGTAGAGAACCTGGAGGGTTAATCCTACACTGAAATAACTACTGGGGGTATATTGTCTGAATATTAACACAGTTTTAAGCCTACAGCACGAGTAGAGAACCTGGAGGGTTAATCGTACACTGAGACAACTACTGGGGGTATATCGTCCAAGTATTGACACAGTTTCAAACCTACAGCACGAGTAGAGAGTGGACGTAGCACCACTGATACGCCTTCGTGCTGGGCCGAACACTGTCAGGATGACCCATGTAAGTGTAAAAAATACAACTCAGTACTCACTGCAGTGAGTGACAGAGAGCGCATTTTCTCGTCGACGAAAACTTGAGGTCACGGACAGACGGACGGACGGACGGACGGACGGACGGACGGACGGACGGACGGACGGACGGACAGACGGACATGGCGAGCGCAATAGTGATTTTTTTTCATAAATGAGTATGACTCACCGGTACGCGGCGGTGATGAAGGGCAGGACGAGGATGAGGGCCTCGCAGCGCTCGTCACTCGTCGCGCTCTCGTCGTCCTGGTCGTTCCCTCGTCCGTACTTGACGTGGAGTCTGTAGCTGGGGGCGTCCGCCCCCCGTGTCGCCTGTCCTGGGGGGGCATCTGCCCCCCGTGTCCCTTGCCCCGAGGGCGGCGCCCCACAGCGTGCCATGTACGTCTTGTCGAGCTCGGCCACCTTCTCGCCGCACAGGTTCAGCAGGATATCGTTCAGGCTCTCAGATATCCTGCGGACACTCGGAGAAATTAGGGGAATTTTGTCTCAACAGCAATGCACTTTCCTGCCCTTGTGTTTATTCAGTATTATAATGCTATGGAACATTAATATATAAAAACCGCCCAGCAATTGACAAAAATATAGTAATATTCTCATAAGAATACCACAATAATTAGTCAATAATAACAATATCCAGCCCATAATAACACAATATCCAGCTTATAACAGCACAATATCCAGCCCATAACAGCACAATATCCAGCCCACAACAGCACAATATCCAGCCCATAACAGCACAATATCCAGCCCATAACAGCACAATATCCAGCCCATAACAGCACAATATCCAGCC